TACGTTAATTCGTAAAAGGCGTGCTATATATATGACGTGTGAATCAATAAGAGTATCTGGCTTGTTTTAAAAGTGTTATGAAAAGTTTTGCATTGTTAAATTCATCTCACATAATGTCCCTTTATTGTAGTGAAAAATTAACAAAACTTCACATTATTTGTTCTTAAGTTAAAAATGTGCGTCAACGACGATTTTTTGGTATTTCAGTCTATCAAACGGTGGACAGGATTGTTTCTGTCTTAGACCTATCAAAGATGGAACATTAAAAAGTAAACCCCCAATTGACAAAAACACACGATGACTATCAAACGAATCAAAATCATAGTTTGCATTGTAATCAGGGAAAATACACAGGTCATTATTTTAAACCTTGAAGCATGTTTCTTTGAAACTTGGTACCGTCCGGGTTGATTGAGAACATTGAGTTCTATTTCTAAACGGGACCTGTATCTGAAAAGAAAACTAAAAAAACTCGCCTAAGTTCATGTTTACCTAAATGAGTTCAAAAGTACAATATTTATCAAATGAGAATTCATCAAACAGTACACAATATCCGAACAATGCCAAAATGTTAACTATATATAATATATCCTCCAAGAATGACAGTCTAAAAGCAGAGGCTTTCATCCATATTATAAATACATTATCAAAATGCCCCCCCCCCCCGAAAATAATCGGGATAAGTTGTTCATCAAATTAAAAATAAAAATAACATGTTAATGTATTTCTACGTCGTGTACTGATTAAAAATTTCCAAAAAATTCTCGAAGTTTCCTGGTCAAAGTGAAATTTGTTGGTGCCAATCAAGTGATTAAACAGTATTAATAATAAAAAGCGTGGGGAAGGGGGATCGAAAACGCGAATATATATTTCATATTAATAAGAGACTTTGTTGGGTCAAAAGGCGTATGATGGGATAGACCGTAATTTATTATGTCAGAAATTACTTGATATTGGAATATGCGGGAATATGTATAATGCTATCGTGTCGTTATATAAGTCGGTAGAGTGCTGCGTTCGAATAAATGGACAATTAACGGACTGGTTCAATGTTCAATGTGGTCTAAAGCAAGGATATTTGCTTTCACCGTTACGTTTTAATGTGTATGTGAACGGTCTTGTTACGTATATATGTTCATATTAAATGCTGGAATAAACATTGACGAGGAAAATGTATCGATTCTACTTTACGCAGATGACCTTGTATTATTATCTGGCTCGGAATCAGACTTGCAAGTTTTGCTAGATGGACTTCATCTCTGGTGTGTGGAGAATAAGATGACAATAAACCATAACAAGTCAAATGTTGTTCATTTCCGACCAAATTCGACCCCAAGGACAATAAACAGTTTTAAATGCGGTGACCTTAACATAAATGTGGTGGAGAAATATACGTACCTAGGTTTAGTGTTAACGGAGCATTTGGACTATCAAATTATGGCGAAACACGTAGCCGCATTCGCCAATCGTGCCTTAGGACTAGTGATATCTAAATATAAAGCATTTTGAGGGCTACCGTTTGATTCTTTCACAAAATTATATGACTCGATTGTTTGGAGCACAATCAGCTACGGAGCGGCAGTTTGGGGAGAAAGAACATTTTCATGTATAAATTCGATACAAAATAAGGCAATTCGTTTTTATATGGGAGTCGGACGGTACACACCTAACGTAGCAGTGAATGGAGATTCAGCCTGGAAACCACCTTGTGTAAGACAGTGGCAAACCGTTATAAATCATTGGAATCGTTTAAGGTATATGAATACCGATCGACTAAATAAAAGAATTCATAACTGGGCGGAAAATAGTTTTAGACGTTATAAAGCATGTAAAAATTCAAATTATAGACTTTATCAGCAGTTTGAATCGTGTAATATTAGTGACTGGTATAATGACACGAACATTCATAAAACTACGGTGTTAGCTAAAATAGAAGATAAACTTTTAACCGATTTTAAAAATAAGTGGACGGATGATCTCCATAGAGTTTCTGCAAGACGTATGGATGGTGGTGGTAACAAATTAAGGACATATAGAACATTCAAAACCGAAATTAGTTGTGAACTTTATTTAAAAAACACTGTTATCTCCTGCTCAACGTAGAGCGTAGTCACAATTCAGGTGTGGGGTTGCACCTATACGAATCGAAACCGGGCGCTACGAACGTTTACCAATGCATGAACGAACTTGCTTTATGTGTGATAATAAGATGGAAACTGAGGAACATGTACTACTTGAATGTCCGCTTTATGACGATTTAAGGAACGAACTCTATGAATATATAAACAGTGAAGATGATAACTTTAACATGTTTACGAATCGTGAGAAACTGTCTTTTGTGTTGGGATGCCAAAACGTTAATGTTATTTACAAATGTGCCAAAACCTGCAAATCTATTTCAGACAGAAAGAGACGTTTTTTATATCGATAAATTTTAGACTGTAAAGATTTCGTAATTTGTTTTAGAAATTTTAATAAGTACATAGTTTAATAAAGTCCTTTATTGTTTGATGAAATTTTACTTTTTGTCTCTTATAATTGACAAGGCTATTCACCACAAGTATGATTCGATTAAGTATGTCCAGATGAATAAGAGAAAACGTTTTAATGTTTTAATACAAACGAATTCTATTAGTCAGAAATAAAAACTATTAAAGGAAACACCAAAATGAATTGCGGAAATAAATGCAAATACATTTTGGTACTTTTTTAGTTCCGTTTGACCTAGTTTCCTTGTATAATTGACCCTGGAATGTAGGTTTCTCTGTAAGTAAAATTGTAATAACGTGTAAAAAGTATTTCCTGGAAAGGAATATAATATATCAACATGAAAATTACATGCAGGATAAAAACTGCAAACTTAAAATGATCAGGCATAGCAGTTCAAACAGAGATACGGTTATGAGTTTGATAATACTGACAGCTATATTCTTCACAGGTAAGTTAGGAGTAACTTGATAAGAAGACAGATTAATATAAGCACTTGCTGCTTGTTTCTGAATCCTATTTTGGAATGTGAATTTATCTGGTAATTTGTATAATTCATAATAACATATTGTTTACACTTGATTTTAGCGGGAAACTGCATGAGTACTTTTTTTGCACATTTCCTCAGTTAAAAGATTATATATGAATGCAGTTCTCTCTTTCTCTCTAGGTCTTAGATGCAGAAGGTCGATTTCGTCAATTTAGGTGCAACACATGTTAGAATATTTTTTGGATTAGGTTATTTTATCAGGGACTGCTTAAAATCTGGTAGGATATGACAAGTTTCCGTTCAACTTTTCAAAATGGCGATAATTATCCTCCTCTTACTGACCTTAAAATGTTTAAATAGTTTGTTGTTTTAGTTTAATTAAAGCTTCACATTGTGAATCGCAGCTGGTATTTTATAGCACCAATAAGCAGAAATATGATTATAGTTTCTAATCATTTCATTAGGGATAAAATAATTTGTTCCCTCTTTTCAGTCGTCTTTACTCTTTTTTTGTCCGTATCTAATGTGAATGGATATTATTCAGCAGTGTCAGATATGCTTCACTCACATTGAAATGTTTGCATAGTTTAAAGAAAATTCTTCCGTTAGTCAACAATATTTGATATATATGCATTACTGTTATTACTGTATTAATTTGACATACTGTAAACCAACTAATTTTCTCGAGCGATTTATTTTCGCGACTTTCGCGAGTAGTAAAATAATGCAAATATAAATCGTCGCGAATATGTAAAACTTGGAAGTTTCCTTATTTAACTGCATCCATCAAATTTGAAAATCGCGAAATTAAATCGCCGCGAAATGGGTTAATAAGGGCTAAACGCGAAATAAAGTATCCGCGAAAATAAGTTGGTTTACAGTATTCGTGCATGTATTTGTACACAATTTTAGATCATTCTTGACATGCTCTTTTTCGTGCCTTACACAAACACAAACCAACCACACCCTCTTTTTTTTCTGCAAATGATATTGATTAGATTGAGTTATTTGTATATCACTTCTATCAAATATATCAAGTCATCATTTACCTCATGTCGCATGGTAATACGTGCATATTTTGCGATGGAATTATTTTTATTTATTTAAACGCATTATTTTAAAGCACTGAAAAAATATTAACATTATCATATAACTTTAGGCATATTTTTTGTTAATTTATATATTAAGACACCCTACATGGATTAAACATTTATAAACATGTATTGAAACCCCGCCGCATTCAGTATGTGCCTGTCGCAAGTCAGGAACCTGTAATTCAGTGGTTGTCGTTTGTTGCTGTGTTTCGTATTTGTTTTCGTTCATTATTTTGTACATAAATTAGGCCGTTAGTTTTCTCGTTTGAATTGTTTTACATTTGTCATTTCGGGGCCTTTTGTAGTTGACTATGCGGTATGGTGACCTATAGTTGTTAATTTCTGTGTCATTTGGTCTATTGTGGAGAGTTGTCTCATTGGCAATCATACCACATCTTCTTTTTATATTGAAATAAATGTGTTGTTTCAGGAACGGTACAGTTTGAACTTGATTTGTCAACAAACGATGGCACCATAGTTTCTATCGGAAGTAATCTAACATTTACGTGTTCTGTTAAGCCATGTAATGAGACCGGAAGCGTGATGTTATTGTTCGGACATGCTCAACATTTATTCAGTGGAATATGCAATGAAAGTTCTATAAAAGACATAAAAGACAGAAGAGTTCAGTTTTCATGCGATTCAGCTCAGTGCATGTACAGCCTGAATGTATACGATGTTGATATCACCGATCACAAACGATCAATGGTTTGTACTTATCGGTCGTCAGAAGACGTTTTAAATAAATCCACTTCCATCGGAGTTTTGGGTAAGTCCTTATACTATTATGAATATTTTTAAGAAAAAGAGAAAATATTTGAATCAGATTAGTTTTGTTTAATAGGATTATGTCTTTTTGTTGACTGTTAGCTTATAAGCTAGATTATATATCATGTATTATATATTATATATCATTACAATGATATCGTACTCGATACCTTTGGACACCATTCGTTATAGCTGCAATCAGACGGCAGGCATTCATTTGAATATTAGCATCCTGTTTTTCGAATTTTATTTTGAATAATTAAACCAATAACTAAAACGTATTTATCATTTATAATTTTATAACTTTCTAGTATTTCTCATTAAAAACAAATAAACACAATCCTGGACCAAAATTATTGTGTTACTGAAAGATGTTTTATGGTTAAAAACCCATCCTCACAAACGTCTTTTTGTCTTTTCATGTGAGTCATGTTGTCTAAAATGTACATTTTCAGAATTTGAACAGAAGTAAATCAAATGAAGACTTTGTTTGATATGTTACAAGGACAGCTGAAATGATACGTGACAAAACTTGTCAATTTTATGTTTTTGTTTTTAAGGCTCTTCAAGTTCGTATCTGATGTGGTCTTTGAACTGTTTTGACCCGAGCGCCACTGACGAGTCCTATTAAAGATGACGAAACGCGCGTCTGGCGTACTAAATTATAAGCCTGATTTCTGTGATGAGATTTTATGATCCACTGTAGTATATGTTGACGTTTCTTCTCCGAGATAATCACCAATCCAAAAGTCAGCACTTTTCTGTTGACATGAAATATCATTGATACGTTAATTTTTCTGCAGATTTACAGTTGAATTATTAAAATAACAAGATCTTCTATCCCAGACGTAGACAACCTGAGCCGTATTTGGCACAACTTTTTGAAAGTTATGGTCATTTAATTTTTTTCCACTTCTCGTTTGATTTAGCTTAGTTGGGCAGCTTACCACAAAAATCATGCAAATGGTGATACAAGCATGAAACTTTGTAAGAACATGCCTTTAGGTGTATGTAATCATATTAATGGGTAGTCACGAAAAAATCCATCCGATCATGGCGGCCATCTTGGATTTTTACAATGACGTCTATCCAGGGAAATGGCATCAAATGTATGATCCCTTTTGCTTGTATTGTATCCAAAATGTTACAAGATGGAGTAAATGAAGATAAAACATCACTTCCGGTCATATATCGGTCGATAGCTCACTTCTGGTTTTATAAATATCCCGAATATGACTGTTTTATAACCCGAATAATGTCAGTCGTTATATTCCGCCGATCTCCGACTAATCTCCGATTGCTACATTAGCTGTCCAACTGTTTAGATTCCAGCGCCACTGATAGATTGCTTGACCAATCATAATCCTATATGTAATTTTGATGATTTTTACAACCGCTGGAAAGATTCAATTGCTGGTGGACGTTTCGTCCTCGAAATTATCACCGGCCAAATAGTCCGCAAGATGGCGAGAGTCGTATTTGGTACAACTTTTCGGAAATTTTGGCTTGAAATGCTCTTCATATTTGTGCGTATTATAAGCCTGGTATCTTTGATGAGTTTTTATATCTAAATACCAAGGAAAAACATCACTTAAAACCTAAAACCAATTTGACAAAAAAACGAAAATGTAAAAAATGAAATCAAGGACAACTATACCTATGAATAGTGGAACATGATTTGTAAACGTGAACGATTTTTATCAAAATAAACATTCAAATTTAATACCAATATATGTATACGGTCTTTTCGCATGGACAAGTGCCCACACAATATGTCACGCTCTAAATCGCCTCGAGATGAGAACACGTGTGAATAAATGAGTGTTTCAGACTCTGAAGCATTATGGGAAAATGTTTCCAAAACCTTTTGATTGGTTTACAACATCATAAACAATGGAAATTTAGTCAATGACGCTATTTTGTTAGGGGTACGGAAAATGAAATGATCAATAATATTTTACATTCCGAAAAAGGCTAAAGATCTTAAATCAATATCTTGATCTTTTTCGACAAAACATCAAAAACAAGAGCGATATCATTAGATCTAAAAGACAGAAGCACAACAACATTTAACCAGTTTAAATTTTATCTTTGAAAGAATTCCCTTCGTATTATTTTAGTTTGTATATAGATTGTTTAGATAAAGAGTGATTATTGAAAAATAAAATTAAAATGTATAGCAACGAATAAAAATATATGCTTTTGAATATTGTATAGAATTAAAAAACGGAATAAACTGAAATGATTAAAACTAAAATAATAAAAGAACCAGCCATTATATGAGGTTTGTCAGACGCAAGTTTTGTCTATATATAACTCAATACAAGAAAGACGTTATTATGTATTGTTTCCTTTCTATTTAGATGATACAGACAATATTACCACAATATCACCACCTGGTCCATTTGTTGATGGAGAAAGCGTTGATTTCAAGTGTTGTGTTCGAAAAATAGACATTCCAAACACTAATCTGTCATTTCAGTGCCATGGAGAACTCATTACACAAGAAATTGATAAGTTTACTTGTCTAAATGTAAATGTATCAATTGATATAGACAAGAATAGTTCAAAATGTACGTGTACAGTTCAGTCGAAGGATATGAGCATTGATCTAAGCTCTGAACTTGATCTGGTAATTAGCCAATGTAAGTATAACCAATAAATTTAATGTATAGATATTTACTTACATTAAAAATAAACCTTTGAAATCTATGAAAATTGTATGTACTGTCTTAAAGACTTAATGCTTATTCGATATAAATTTATTATTCAATGAATCTGAGATAGTCTTGTATTAATCCGTTTAAAGGCGTGTAATTCTACACGTGTGTATACTAGACGTTATTCTGAGTGAAACAGTTTATAGAATATAGAGTTTGTTTAACAATATAAAAGGTACAAATTCTACCGCATCAGATGCGCATTTTGAAAATTTATGTCTCTTCAGTGATGCAAAAATATTTTAAAATCCAAAACCTAAGTTTAATACAAACGTTGAAGAGTTGTTTAAACCAAAATGGACCTAAAGTATAGCCAAATCCGGACAAGGAATCCGACCGTTGCATAATCAAACTGAGTACAATAATAGTCAATGAGACGTTATGTATTGAAAATAAAAACTGTTACAACAACATCATTTCTGAAATAATATGTTTGTGAATACGATAATGGGATGAATATTAATTGCAGAATATTGCCGAGGAGTCAAAACTCAATGGCTTATCGCACCACATTGTACTTAAGACACAACTGAAATCAGCATAACCGTTATTTGTTCTTTTTTATTTACAGAAATAAGTGAAAATTGAAAAGACGTCTTTTCTTGTTATCAATCACGAAGATATTTTAAGCATGCAAATTCCGTGAAATCTTTGATTTATTATTCATTTACGTATTAGAGTTCTACTACTTCCGGTGTGACATTTTTAATGAGGTTTTAAACTCGGAAACAGAAAATAAATCTCAGATCAAAGTCTTTTATTTCATCTTCTTTTTAAGTGGGACATATTCATAACCCATGCACTAAAATTCATAGTAAATACATTTCCATTGTCTAACCGTTACTTAACTCTTTTAATTTAATTGGCCTTGCTTTAGGGAAACTTTGAAGAATGTACCTTTGAATATGGCTAGATAAAAAGTTTGGCTGTTAGGAGTAATTTCAAGTATTTTATAAAAAATAAGTTCTTCAGTTTAAAAGATTTAATCTATATTAGACAATCAATCATTAATATGCGTAATAGACTGCTTGAAAGTTCAAAAAATTTTCAGTTTTGAAGATATAAAATACAATGGAGATAAAACCGTAAAAAAAACTTAATTTTTGAAAAGAAGTTAAAGGCAGAAATTCTTCTAATTTCCTATCTTATCTAACGTGCATATTGTATTGTTTAAGATGACCCATTATTCGAATCATCCTCAGTTACCAACGTTGTCTTTGGTAACACAACAACAATAGCATGCCGTGTACCTGGATTACAATACCCTTTTGCCTTTGGACGCTGGAAATATAAGAATGGAAAAGAAGAGAAAAGTGTTATAGGATCAACTAGCTCAAATGAAACAACACTCTTAACAGTCAATAATAGCACTTACGAAGAAATTGGGACATACTATTGCACAGTGGTTGATGTCAGGAAAAATGATAGTATTGTAGCAAACACATCGACAGAGTTATACGTACAAGGCATGTATTAATGTTTTTTTTAAACGAAATTTGTCTTATTAAGGGCATTTATAATAATATGTATCTCCAAATGGGACAATATTAAAGTATATAAGAATGATAAGAAAAATGCAGTGTAATCTACTTCTTTAAACCAAAAATATATCCAATGTCCTAGTTAAACACATGACTTGCTCTGAATAATCGCAAGTATTAGAATCTACAAAAAACAATTATCAAATCTGGAAAAAAAATCTCATTTACGAAAGATTAGAAATGAACCAATAAATGAATTAAATATATATCTGTTGGTTGATGATTTATACAAGAACAAATCTGAAACATAACCAGCGAGATTAGATACAGATACATGTATTTGTTCGCGTATGGCCATCAAAAAAGCCTTTTATTTAGTACTTTACGACTTTTGAAGTGGAAGAACATTCTCTTTATTTATTTGTTTTTTATCATAAACTATTTTTATCTTTATACGGACACTGTCTTATTACAGGACCAATTATTCTGAAGAGAATTCATACCGAACACGTTAACACCACACTATGTTCGATTACGATAACTTTTGAAAGCTTTCCAGACATAAAAATTGATTCCTTGTGGACAAACAATAGACAGGTCCAATTTCGACAGGGTACATTAAATAGTTTTGTAATGCAAGAAATGGACAAATTAAGTACTGAACAGGAAGGAGTCATTAACTTTAAGGATTGTCTGTCAAGTAATGTTTATGGATTGATTGTTTCGAATGGTTTCGTTTCAAAGACAGTTTACTTTAATTTAACAGGTATATTATAAAATTACACCATATATGTGTATATGAATTAATGTATAAGGAAAAAAATAGTTCGTGTATATCTTCCTCTTAAATTCTGACGATATAAATATGATTTTAAATATGTAAGTATGGTAAAACAAATATAAAAAAATAAGAACAATGCAGATGTGGGAAGGTTATTGTTCCCTGCGTTTTCGATATGGAAAAGCGCTATTTGTAGGGACGCTGAATCTGTTCAATAAATAAACTCATCATCGATACCAGGCTTAAAAAAGACGGAAAAGGCCAAAGAATTTATTAACGGAAGTTTTATTTTTTGCTTTGTCCCTGATTAAACGATTAGAAATGTATTTTTTGGAATTGATATTAAGATGTATTCTTGCAGTTATTAGACTAGTAAAACTTTGATGTTATCGCATAGTGTGTTGAACATCTTAGTCATAATTTACATTCATGTTGGTCATGTGAATAATTTTGCAGGGGAGCTGTTTAACATATCCCCAATGTTAAAAATTGATGGAGGGGACGATGGACATTTTATAGATGGAAAACAAGCATCGATTACGTGTTACGATATCATCAAATCAGAAGCGAGTAGTCTGGATTTATCATGTGACAATATAACCAACATAGAACAGGAAGTGAATGACGACGCTACATTAATTAAAAATGTATTTACTGCCGACATAAAGAATGATGATACTATATGTAGATGTATTTCTAACAAATCTAACAGCGAGTCAATGTTGACTGTTCACATATTCCCTTGTAAGTTTTAAGACTACGTCACGTATACCTGATAATGATCTAAGCCTAATAATTAACATAGAAGGAAAAAAAAAGTCACCAAATTCATAAAGGATATCGGTTTTGGTCTCCGACATCTACACCCTTGATATCGAGCAATTAAAATTTCTGACTGCTATTATATTATGATAATTCAATGGAAACAAAATATAACAGAGCAGCTTCCAAAAACACAAGAAACTATCAAACATTTAGAATCACTTGCATAAAGGTAGTTTAAAATATAAAGGTCGTGACATGTTGTAAATGAATTGGTTATGCTAAAATCTTATTCCTGAAGAAAGAAAAAAACACGATTTCAATCGACAACAATTGATAAAACTTTCAAATATCTACTTGCTTAATGCAGTACAAACTCAAAGTCGGTTACATTATAAAAACATTTAAACAAGTTTAAACGGATCCGAATTAAAGTGACATATACAATCAGTTTTAGATAATTTTTTTTATATAAATAAGATGTACAATTTTATGTTCTACACAAAAACGTTACTTTTAATTCTCCTCCCATTTGAATATATCTTTGAACTTCCTCTTATAATCTAACAGTACTAATAATCAGTAATAAGACAATGTTGATACGTATATAACTATATATGTATGTGAAAGTAAATTCAAATGTTTCTTTTAAAATACTGGACTAACTGAAAGCAAAATAATTTTAACTGGGACAAACCACGAACAATTAAACGAGAACATTTAATGTGCCTTTGCGTATATTGTTTTGGTGGGGTTGTGATGCTCAAACTATAGTTTTTTATGTAGTGTTCTCATTTCTATCATTTTGATAACGTAAATGATTCGACTAGATCTAAGAAATCATTTCGAGTAAATATCTCCTTCTTGAAAGAGGGTTACTCCTTACAAGGAAACTATTGCACTAAAGGTTTCAAATGGTAAAGTTGAAATCACCCCTTCGAAGCAGACGTCATCATTTGCTATGGAATATCAGTGTCACAAATGAACACAATCATATTTCACTTGTCGTTACCACAATCTTGTCCTTTTTCCCTTGAGGGTGACATTATCGAATGCGACTTGCATCTGAATTCGTCCTTGCAATGAGTAACACGACCGTGCCACTAGGTGAACATGAACTATTACCAATCTGAAGCACCTGTGTTGACCCCTTGTTTCAGTTTTATTCGTGTCGATCTTTCTTTAGTTTTTTGTGTTTATGTTTGTTTGTTTTTTTTTTATTTCTGTTTGTCTTTTCGTCGCCTTTCTTTTATTCCATGGTTTTATTGACTTATGATTTTTGATTGCCCCCTTGGTATATTTCTGCTTACATGTTTCTCCTTTAGCTTTCAATATGAAAAAAAGACAACATGTAAATGTATAAAATTAAAATTTTTAAACATACAAACATTAGAACAATAAACAATACTCTTCGTATAAAGGAATTACTAATGTGATTTGGATTTAATAAATTAAACAATTGACTAATGGGCAGATTTTACATAAATGTGTACAATCTCTATAGCTTTATCTTAAGATGCTATTCCGTAGTTGCCTTTTTTAAACGTTTTTAATTAATTTTGATTATTCTCTTTTTGCCTTTTCAGACAAAGGACATAATGTATCACATGGAAAAGACGTGTGTGAAAGTAATTCAGAGATAAAACTCACCTGTCAAGAAGAAAACTTACCAGACTTATTTCACTTTGGAAAATGGATCCACCATTATAATGATGTAGAAATACGTCAAATGGATGGATTTTCCTCAGGGAAACAGACGTTTATCCAGATACCTTTCTGTACATATGAAGATATAGGGAACTACACATGTACCGTTACTGATTCAAGGAAGAACACAACTGTTTTGAATTCAACCACTTTTCTAAGTGTACCAGGTAAAAAGAGATTCTTAATATATAAATTGATGTTATTAAACCGCTGTTCGAATAATGAATTTAGAAAATTACGCCCTCATATTCACAAAAACAATTCATTGAAAAGGAAAAAAACATCATAATGAAGTTAAAAACACGTAAAACTGTGTTTCAACGAAATACATGTATTCATTTTATAGCTAAACTGTTGTTGAAAGTAGATTTTCTAAACCATTAGGCCAAGTGACTTAAACATTAAATCAACTATTTAGAGAGATACATTTTTAATCAAAACTACTGCACATTAAAATTGTAATGTCGAAGAACACAAATCGAGCAGATGGGATATGACCTTCGGGTTTTGGTTGCATTAGATAAATGTGAATAAACTGAAATGTGGGTATACTAGTACATCAATTAGACTGCAACAAAAGATATCTAGACGTCAACAATCTTCATAAATCAAACCATGTCTTCAAAATATTCTAAGCGCTTATCTGCCCGCGTGACATACCTGAGTAAATTAAACAGATTGCGATTTGCAGCTACGACATTTTGTTTTCTTTTATACCTTTCTGTCGTATTTAGCACAAATTTTACTCCAATTCTCAATAGCATCTTATTTCAATGTTGGATTCCGATATTTTCAAAAATTACAGCAGGGTGCTTCGGCCCTAATAAATCAATGTTGATCTGAATGTATCATTTTAATCTTAAAAGCTCTTAATAAACTAAACAATAAATTATTGATTCATTTTCAGTTCTACAATCATTTTTTGCTGAACATGACTGAATAATGTATTCTTCAGTCTTTTCAGATCATGTTCAGATCAACATACCATTTCAAACTAAATTCGTTTGCTAATGGGTGAAATAGTTGACACAATTCTGCATTGTGAGGAATTGACAAATGGCTTTGAAATCAGCATTCAACCTTTTTATTTCAGGTCCACCTGTTATTGTAAACAGCTCTGTAGTGAAGCATACTTCAAAAGCAGAATGCTTACTTAGCGTTGAATTTTATTCTTTTGATGAAAAATCAGCAGTTACTTGGTATAAGAATGGAAGAGTAATACATTCATCAGAACACCAAAGACCAAATGTAAAAGCAACCACTCATTCTGTAAATATGCATAATATTGAAGTTCCAGTAAAGGCGAAAATTGCAACACTTCAACTGAAACCAGGATGCGATGTGGATACGTCTATATATCGCCTTACTGTGAAAACAAACAATTTCTCAACATCTCATACTTTTGAAAAAGATGGTGAGTCTAAGATGGTTGCATTTCACATTTTTCGTCATTGACCACATAAGCAACGTATATGATTGGCTTGTCTTCCTTTTTCACAAGTCTTTGTTATTCTTTGATTTTGCTGTCGAACTTTTACAATGTATAATAAAGTCGCCATAAATAACATTATCTTTCTGTTTTTAACTGTTAGAATAGTTAAGATTTATTTTTTTTCAACAACATACACATTCTGTGGGAAGGCACTTAGATAAAGATTAAAAACAATAAGACGAAAAGACAAGCAAAGTCCACAGAAATCGATAGGTTCAGCATCGCGATTATCTTCAAACACCGAGATGATCTCAGGTTATGTCATAAATCTAATTATCTATACAGTTTTATCTCTAGATTCTTTTCCGTAGTTGCCCTTTTTAACTTACAATTTTGATTATTTTCTTTTTGCCTTTTCGGACAAAGGACATAATGTTTCACATAGAAAAGACGTGTGTGAAAGTAATTCAGAGATAAAACTCACCTGTCAAGAAGAAAACTTACCAGACTTATTTCACTTTGGAAAGTGGATCCACCATTATAATGATGTAGAAATACGTCAAATGGATGGATTTTCCTCAGGGAAACAGACGTTTATCCAGATACCTTTCTGTACATATGAAGATATAGGGAACTACACATGTACCGTTACTGATTCAAGGAAGAACACAACTGTTTTTAATTCAACCACTTTTCTAAGTGTACCAGGTAAAAAGAGATTTTTGATATATAAATTGATGGTATTAAACCGCTGTTCGAACAATGAAATAAAAAATTACGCCCCTTATTAACAAACAAAAACAAATACATAAAAAGGGAAAAAAAAACCATCATAATGAAGTTGAAAAGACTTAATAAAAACTGTGGTTCAACGAAATACATGTATTCATTTTATAGCGAAACTGTTGTTGAAAGTAGAGTTTCTAAACCATTAGGCCAAGTGACTTAAACATTTAATCAATACTTCAGAGAGTTACACTTTATAATCAAAACTACTACACATTAAAATTGTAATGTCGAAGAACACAAATCGAGCAGATGGATTATGACCTTCGGTTTTTGGTTGCATTGCTTCAGCCATACAATTGTTTTTGTTTTTTGCCTTGCACATCATTTTGATCACAGGTAAGTACATTCGGTCAAAAGTGATTGATACTTTTGATTTAGTAGATAAATGTGAATAAACTGAAATGTGGGTATACAAGTACAGCAATGAGACTGCAACAAAAGATATCTAGACGTCAACAATCTTCATAAATTAAACCTTGTCTTCAAAATAATATGAGCGCTTATCTGCCCGCTTGACATACCTGAGTAAATTAAACAGATTGCGAGTTGCATCAACGACATTTTAAAATTGAGAATGGAAATGGGGAATGTGTCAAAGAGACAACAACCCGACCATAGAACAGACAACAGCAGAAGGTCACCAACAGGTCTTCAATGCAGCGAGAAATTCCCGCACCCGGAGGCGTCCTTCAGCTGGCCCCTAAACAAATATATATACTAGTTCAGTGATAATGAACGCCATACTAAACTCCAAATTGTACACAAGAAACTAAAATTAAAAATAATACAAGACTAACAAAGGCTAGAGGCTCCTGACTTGGGACAGGCGCAAAAATGCGGCGGGGTTAAACATGTTTATGAGATCTCAACCCTCCCCCTATACCTCTAGCCAATGTAGAAAAGTAAACGCATAACAATACGCACATTAAAATTCAGTTCAAGAGAAGTCCGAGTCTGATGTCAGAAGATGTAACCAAAGAAAATTAACAAAATGACAATAATACATAAATAACAACAGACTACTAGCAGTTAACTGACATGCCAGCTCCAGACTTCAATTAAACTGATTGAAAGATTATGTCTTCATCATATGAATATCAGGCACAATCCTTCCCGTTAGGGGTTTAGTATCATACCATCATAACATATATGAGAAGAACATAACCCGTGTCATGCCAACAACTGGTTTTTAAATAAATGTGTTTAGTGCCGATGCAAAGATCCTATAAGTGAATCAATATTAACGCCAAAATATGAAATCTTTAATGACCTGACAACAGTATCGTAACTATATCCCTTCTTAATAAGTCTATTTAAAGATTTTGTAAGCTTCAGAGGTGAATACTGACATTTTTGTGCTTTATAAAGAATATTTCCATAAAAAATTGAATGTTAAATACCTGAACGTATAAGAAGTCTGCATGTTGAGCTATATTTACGAATGATGTCCTTATACCGATGATAAAATTTAGTAAATGTTTTGACTAGTTTGTGATATCGAAAACCCTGGTGTAATAATTTTTCAGTAATATATAAATTTCTCTCGTTAAAATCTAAAACATTGTTACATACACGAGCGAATCGTACAAGTTGAGATATATAAACACCGTAAGATGGTGACAAGGGAACAAAATATCATCCAAATATCTGAAAGTATTATTAAATTTGTGTATCAGATGTTGTTTCGATGGGTCTTTGCTGATTTTTGTCATAAATTGTAACTCATAGCAATACAAAAAAAGGTCCGCAATAAGTGGTGCACAGTAAGTCCCCATTGGAATTCCGATAACCTGACGATATACGGAATCTCCAAAGCGAACATATATAGTATCAAAGCATGTCCAATTGACATAGTTTTTTTGTTTAATGCTACTAAAAAATGACCTAAAAGAGTTTGAACATATATATTCACATTCTGACTTTTTAAATGCCCATTTAATTAGGTGTGTGAATTTTTTCTTAATGAGAATGTGAGGCAATGTTGTATATAGGGTAGAAAAATCAAAACTTTGAACAGATTCAAAATCACCAATATATGCATGTAATTTATCAAGTACTTCCAACGAGTTCTTGACACTCCAAAAGTAATTAATTCCACTATTTTCGAAGGCCTTATTTGAACAATTTATTATCAGGTTTTTGATTGTACCAAGTGTACTGGTAAGAAGAATAGACAATTTAGTAGTGGAACAATGGCTTGAAGACGAAATAAATCTATATTTGTAAGGTGTTTTGTGTAGCTTCGGAAGCCAATACATAGTTGGGACTTTCATTGTATTTGGTTCTGCTTGTAAAGCGGTAGCTAAAAGTTTATGTTTGTTACAGATGTCGTTTTCTGAAAATGGAGTCAGTTGGAATGTTGGTGAATTGGTGATTTCTTTTTTCAGAACCTCAATGTAAAATTTACGTCAAACAATAATAATATTATTAGCAGCTTTATCGGCCGGGACAAAAACAAATTCCTTGGCTAGTTCTTTTAGTTTATGTTTGATACGAGAAATAGGTTTATTGTGGTTTTTGTTAAGAGTAAAATGTTCTTTAAAATGTTGAATACGTATATCAACTATGTTCATTACTGAATTAAAAAAAGAGCCCAAAGATTTTTTGTCAGCTTTTTCCCGTTTTATCCATTTCAAACAGTAAGTATGGAGTGAGTCGTGGATGATATTACGACACTCATTCCAATTTTGTTTTCCGTTATACCTTTCTGTCGTATTTGGCACAATTTTTATCCCAATTCTCAATAGCATCTTAATTCAATGTTGGATACCGATACTTTCAAAAATTACAGCAGGGTGCTACGGCCCTAATAAACCAATGTTTATCTGAAACAATCATTTTGATTTGAACAGCTCTTAAAAAACTGAATAATAAATTATTGCTTTATTTTCAGTTCTTCAGACAACCATTGCGGGAAACTCAGCATTGTTTAGACATTACGCTTGCAGTCAATTAATAACTGTTCTGTCAATATTCAGACTGTTCAGTAGTTGCAATTTTCCTGAACACATCATCATCATACTAAAATATCTAAAATGCTACTGAATTGACTGCAAGCGAACTGTTTAAACAGTATTGAATTCACCACAGTTGATAAATCTGAAAATTGACTGAAATGCTGAACATTACTTAATAATGTATTGTTCAGACTTTTCAGATCATGTTCAAATCAAAATACCGTTTCAGACTTAAAACATTTACTAGTGACACCATTCTGTATCGTGAGCATTCGACCTATTTATTCCAGGTCCACCTGTTATTGTAAACAGCTCTGTAGTGAAGCATACTTCAAAAGCAGAATGCTTACTTAGCGTTGAATTTTATTCTTTTGATGAAAAATCAGCAGTTACTTGGTATAAGAATGGAAGATTATTACATTCATCAGAACACCAAAGACCAAATGTAAAAGCAACCACTCATTCTGTAAATATGCATAATATTGAAGTTCCAGTAAAGGCGAAAATTGCAACACTTCAATTGAAACCAGGATGCGATGTGGATATGTCTATATATCGCCTTACTGTGAAAACTGAACATTTCTCAACATCTCATACCTTTGAAAAAGATGGTGAGTGTACGATTGTTAGTTTGGAGATTTTATTTTCTGATGATAACCATCTTTCGACTTTTAACTACATTATCGATGCATGATTTGCTGGTCTTCCTTATTCATTATTCTTTGTTATTCTTTGATTTCGCTGTTAAAATTTGACAATGTATAATAAAGTTGCGTTTAACAACATTAATTTTATCTGTTAAAAGGTTGATACTTTGCAACAACATGCACATTTTGTGGGAAGACGCATAGGTTAAAAGAAAATAACGAAAAGACAAACAAAAGTCAACTAAAAACTAAGAATTCAGTATCATGAACCTCTTCAAATACCGAGATGATCTTGTGGCAAAAATAATGTGAAGAGGGAAGACTTATTAATGCTACATCATGTGGCCCATATATATAGTCATCTTCGATACAGATATTCCATAACGTTCTAACGAATCATGATGGAGAATGTAAAATATTGGAAGAGCTTAATATTTCGAACAATCCTTGTAATTTTTAAGTACATGTCAGTATTAAATTAGGTATAAAGGTATATGTTGAAGAAAGTTCAATGTGATATATGCAATCAACACAGTTATCAAAAATAATTGACCCTTGATTTAATCGTTCAAAAATAGAATTTTATTCCAACTGCATCACATTTCTGATCAAGTATTAACTAAAAAGAGTCTATTTTTATACCAGATATCAAAACTAATTCAAGAAAATAATATTCTCAATTCATAGTTCTATTCTTATTTCTAATTCAAAATATCAAGTATTTGAAAATTACGCACATCATTATTGTTGTTAACTCCAAGTATCGGAGATGTAACAAACTCTCCACCCAATCGTATGTCGTTTTACTTATCACATTCCCTCAAGAAAATTTTATTTTAATTTGGAAATTCTAAATGGATTTACGGGATTTGAACATCGGTAAACTACTGTTGCCTCTAATGTGATATGTCGTGATATAATCTTTATATTTATGTGTAAACAGAAATTAAAAGCAAGCGAAAGATACCAAAGGGATAATAAAACACATAAGTCGAAAACGAATTGACAATGCTGTGGCAAAAAACGGAAACGACCATAAGATAAACATCAGTATACAAAACACAACATTGACAGCTTAAGACTGAGCAACACAAACCCTACCAAAAATCTGGAGCGATCTCATGTGCTGCGAAAGGGTAATCAGATTAACCAATCCATTATCAGCATTGATATTGTATGAAAAATAAGCAAAAGCGGAAGATACCAAAGGGACATTCAAACTCATATGTCGAAGAGAAACTGACAACGTCATGTTATACATTTTAATTACAAAACAGAAGGTCGTATTGATATTTAGAAGTGCTTGGATATAAACATTCCTAAGGATGATTCCAATATATTCTGAGGGTGCATTTCCTTATATTTTTGCGTATTGATATAAGACTACATTAAGCGTAGTTTGTTTTAGGTGAAATACAAAATATATTCAGTTATATTTTTCAATCGATTATTGATTATTATAAATTAATATTCTAGATTCCGCTCGATGAATTTTCATATTTATTTCTATACTAGATAACACAGTACACACAGTGTTGATAATTTCACTATTATTAGCAACAGGAATTGTCATCACAGGTCTAATTATAATAATATGTAGAGCAACTAAAGGTACGTAAAATCACAATTCGTGTTTCAAACCGAAGGGTTTAGATATTTTACAGTGATCACCTATTAGTTGAATTGAGTAATAACAAAGACCGAGAAGATATCAATGGCAAATTCTAAAACCATATGACGTAATAGTAATGTATAGTGTTTTGTTTGTTGACAAAATACCTGCATTCAGTGATAAATAGTACAGCAGCTATCTAATTACTTAATGACTTTCTTCTAAGGAAAAAAGAAAGGAAGTTAGCAGTATCCTTTAATTTCACTTTCCGCTATAAAGATGATGTTCTCTCACTAAATAATTCAAAATTTGGTGACTATGTTGAACGCATCTATCCCATGGATCTTGAGATAAAGGATACAGAGACAGTTAAGTCTGTCTCATATCTTGATTTACATCTAGAAATTGACAATGAAGGTCGCATGAAAACAAAACTTTACGACAAAAGAGATGATTTAAGCTTCCCAATTGTCAACTTTCCATTTCTATGTAGCAACATTCAAGCAGCGCCTGCATACGGAGTTTATATCTCCCAGTTACAATATTCAAGGGCGTATGTTTCCTATCCTGATTTCCTTGATAGAGGGTTACTGCTCATAAGGAAGCTATTAAACCAAGAGTTCCAAGTGGTGAAGTTGAAATCATCCCTTCGTAAATTTTACGGACGCCAACACGAGTTGGTTGACCGTTATGGAATATCTGTTTCACAGATGACGACGGATATGTTCCAATTGTCGTAAGTACAATCTCGTTCCCCTTCCCTGAATGCGACCTACCGAATTAGACATATAACCGGATTTGTACTAACATGAGCAACAAGACGGGTGCCACATGTAGATCAGGATCTGCTTACCCTTCCAGAGCAACTGAGATCAACCCCAGTTTTTGGTGGGGTTCGTGTTGCTTAGTCTTTGGTTTTCTATGTTGCTTTGTGTACTGTTGTTTGTCTGTTTGTCTATAACTTTTGTAGCCATGGCGTTGTCAATTTATTTTTCGATTGAGTTTGAATGTCCCTTTGGTATCCTTTGCCTCTCTTTTAATGATTCTAAAAATAAGGAGATGTGGTATGATTTGCAATGAGTCAACCATCCACCAGAGACCAACGTACGAGGATCTAAACATGAGAAGGTCACTTTAAGGCTATCAACAATGAGCGGAATGTATACCTTATAGTAAGCTATCACTACAACAGTTATAACATAATTTGAAACAATTCAAAAGAGAAAACCAAAAACATAACAAACAGCAACCAGCTAAAACCACTGAATTACAAGCTCCTGAATTGGGACAGGCACACATAAATAATGTGGGAGGGTTAAACATTAATGTAAGCATCTTGCCATCCCCTTACCTGTTACAATGGTGTAACATCAAAACATGAATCACACTTTTAAAACAAGTTAGAAAAGGTTTTATATTTTTTGTTTCCTATAGCACAATATGGACTTAACGTTTCCACATAATGGAAGTTTGTTTAAACAAAGACGTGGTAGGAATCTTGACTGAATTACTTTATAATATGGACAGTTTTGTATAGGATTAGTTATATTCAAGATTTACTTTTGTTTGTATACTAGACATGATAAAATAATCATGCAAAACGTTTTTTTTTTTGTGTTTTAACTTTTACCGTATTTCTTTATCGAAATACTTGAAAACGTTTTTTTTAAACATGTAAACGCGGACTTTCAAATCGTCGATTACCGTCTTGTGTTTATGTGTGACAAAACTAAGCCGCTCGTAAGTAGCATACAAAACCTTATAAATATAGATTTATCGTCTCCTGTGTATAAAAGTATAATTGCACTAAATTATTTACTTGAATTTCCTATTCTTTATTTTCGGAAATATATAACTTTTTGTCAAGCTGTTTCTGTAACTAAAACGAAAAGTATGTCTTATATTAGGGACACTAAATGTTACAACATTTTCAAACTTGCACTAAGTATTTAAATCTTAACGATTTCCTGTTTCATACAACAAAATTTCGATTGCGTAACGAATTTTAAACTGACAAAGAGTGTTGCATTTTTACGATTGGATAGAGAAACTGTAAAGAAATCAAAATGTATGGATTAAAGTGAAATGTTCAATATCACGATCTTTCTTTATAGTTTCTTAGTTTCTCAGTAATGATTTTCTTTATCCCATGAATTTATCAAAAATTGTCTATTTGTGCACATTGTTAAAATTGTACTGTATAACATGATATTTATTTGTGACTTCAATGCAAAGAGCACAATTTTTTATAACTAATCTATTTCATATCTAGGAAGAAAAAAGAAATTCCGGTTCAATAGAAAAAGGTAACTCTTATTCAAGGATAACACAAAGTGTTTTAAGAACATGCTTTTTGCATTTAAATAAATTTTTTTTAATTATAAATGATTTCCAGCATTTTTCCCCCGCAATTATCAATATTATTTGTGAAATAAAACCATTATATGTTTTACATATAAAAAAAAGTATTTTCATTATAACATTTGATTAGAAAATCATCATAAATTCAGTTTTCTAAATAATTTCTTCCTTGTGTTGTTGAATTCAGAATATTGCTTTATACTAATGAGATTAGAAGATGTTAAATGACAATCATGAAACGTAAGTCAATGCAGGACATGGACAACAACAACCAAAAGCAATGGCGAAATGCATACATCAGGGACCCTTTACACAAAACTTTGATGTAACGACACGCATCTACAAAATAAACGGCGTTAAGCACAGATTCATCATATGGTGCTTCGAGATTCAGTAAACTTGCAAGTATAACAGTTGTTCATTGTCCCTCTGATTCATATTTATGTTCAATCTTATAAGTTACCAAAGACAGCAAAAGTATGTTTACCCTGATATCTACTACTCTATGATTTTTCAGTCTGTATACTAGTAATGCTGTGGTGGGACGACGAATTGATACCCAGTTTTATGAAGAAATAGATATGTTTATTGAGAATCTAAGTATGATTTCACTTATAACGCACACTGAAATATTTTATATTCTTTCTAGTGTCCTCAAATTTTATATATTAAATATGGATATATTCATCCTAAAATTTCAAGGCAATAAAAGTTCGTATTTGTACAATAAAAAAAATATTAAAACAACACGTAATGAATTTCATGCGTCCGAAGCGCTTTTCTGGATTTACCTTCATCAGGAACGCTCAAAGCCGAATACTTGAAAGCCAAGGATGTATAACGACCGAAAACGTTGAAGAGCTGTAAACCAAAAAGTACCAGATGTTCATGTTACAGATCGGTTATTTCAAAAATGCAGTGCTACTCTAAACAAATGTTAGTGAGAATGTTTTCTTTAATAAAAGGAAAACTGGGGTTTGAGTTAATGAGACAGCAACCAAACGACAAAAATAAAAAAAAACGACATCCAGGGGAATCATGCCATTTTCAACAATAGACAAGTATTCAAACAATACCTCAAATTCTAAATCGTCCCGAGCCTATAAAAGTTGAGAATAAGTTATTTGTCACCAATACCAAATTCTTCAAATAATGGAAAACTGAAACATATGACATACGGCATGTTTCTTTAAATTATAATATTTTAGTGTCTTAAAAATAGCAACAATCAACATTCAATCAACAAGGGAAAATGAAGTATTTCATTTTCCTGGAATTATATTGAATCTTGTATACCCCAACTAGATCAGGTGAAGGACAATTTTGAAGAAACTTTTGATGTATTAATTTATTTATTAATAACTGCAATGTGCATAGTTACAATATGATTTTTGAAACACATCGACATATATTTCTCCATAACCTTTCGAAAATGCTTTCATTTTGTTTTTTTATATAAATTTGATGTAAAATGACGACTGCCAATGATACTATAAACAGCTCCCCAAGAAGATGGTAATGCCGCAATTTGACTTCAATTTGTAAAAAAAGAATAATAAAGTACTAATATCGCGCATACATGTTGTGTCATGGTTTTTAAATACAAAAAGTTGCGCAAATTTAGAAAATGTTAGTTTTGTCGTTATGGAGGACAATATGTTTCCATTTCTCCTATTGAGGCGTTGAACATTTGATAATAAACTGATGCAGTTGCTTAATAAACATTATGATAATGTCAATGAATGTTACTTTAACACGTTTCTGAGTGTTTTTAACCTACCGATTATATTTTACATAGTTCTATGCAACATTTTGGTGGAAAATATAGCTTTTATTAATTTGTTTACTTAATTGAATAGTTTTGAGTGCGTTTTAATTTATTTCTATGTGTTTATGTGGTCCCGTTTCAGGACAAGGAGATGAGGAAACCACACCGCATAATAGATATACATTGACAGAAAATGAATATGAGCAGATACCATTTGATAGAAACTGAATGTTTTGGAAAAACCATGAAATGTATTGCTTCTGTATACAATTGAAAAACTTATAGTTGTTTTATCAAAGTATCATTAAACTATTTCGAGATTACATTAACATAGGATTTATAAAAATAAGAAGATGTGGTATGATTGCCAATGAGACAACTCTCCACAAGAGACCAAATGACACAGAAATTAAAAACTATAGGTCACCGTACGGCCTTCAACAGTGAGCAAAACCCCATACCGCATATTCAGCTATAAAAGGCCCCGAAATGACAAATGTAAAACAATTCAAACGAGAAAAACTAACGTTTGTTTATTATCTTGAACATTTCTAATGTAAACTAAATATGTTAATATTCTAAGATAAAACTTAGCCAGGAACTGCATTTATGTGCTGAGTATTGAGTTTGTAGAAACAAGTAAAAAAGTATAACAAAAAACTTAACTCCAGGCAAATTCAAAAAGTGCAAGTCCATGAAAATTAACCACTTTCAATCAACAGAACAAGTGAAAAACAACTGCATATTCCTGACTTGGCACAGGCATTTTCCGAAAGAAATGGTGGTTAAACCTGGTTTTATAGCTAGCTAAACATCCCACTTGTATGACAGTTGTTTATAGTTCCGTTATATTGACAAAATTGGGTAAGCAACCCAAACAACCATTATAGGTTAATGTGACAATAATTGGGACCCAGCAGCCAAAACTTTGTAAACATACGTCGCAGACATACATCACAACTGATTAAAAAATTCAAACGATTATATAAATCAATCTAACAAAGACGCCAACAAAAATGGTGTAGTAGATAGTAATAAACTCATCATAGATGACAAGATTAAAATTGTGTACGCCAGACGCGCGTTTGTCTACAAAAGACTAATCAGTGACGTATATTTGACGACGTTTTCAACTTCGTATTCAACTTTGCAAAGACCCTTTCCTATAGGAACTTTCCGTTCAAAGTGTTTAAGCAAAGAGAGATAACTCAAAATTTGTTTTTATTCCTATCTGGAATAAATGGCACTTTTCTTTTATAGAATGTTTCTTCAAATTAGTTTCTGCAAAGAATGAAGGAAATTTACATTGATTGATATTCAATTGTTTTATTTATTCAAGAAATATTTTTTTGTTTGTATGAATTATTAATATGCAGTAAAATGTATCACATCAGTAAAGTCTTACTGTCTTGTTTTCAAAATGATACATTATGTTATAATGCACTTTGGTTAAACAAACATTAAAAATAAATCTGCTAAAATTCTCCAGCTATTTTGAAACCATGTGAAACTAATTGAGCAAATGCAATTATATCCACTTTTCTTACTTAATACAACGAAATAAGCACAATGTTTTTCATGTACTGAATTGAGCAGTGACCACATCAAATTTTAACATCAAATACAAAAAATCTATATAGTATCTAAGGATATCATAAAATTAAAATATACCGCACATAAATACATGTATAGTAGAGCACAGTGACTTCAAAATGGTTGTGCTCCGTACTTAATTTACATACTATTCATATCAAGTTTAGCTCATTGTTACTTATAATTATAAAACTAGAAAAAAATACCTTTTTAATGTTTCCAATATGCTATGAAATCATTTTGTTTTATAAATGGTATTGTAATGTTTAAAGTTAATTAAAATATTATACATACTTACGAATTGTATGATAAATACTGAAGATCTGGTGTCATATAGATTTAACAGTCAAGGAGCACCATCATGAAAAGCACCTGTGAACAAAATATTTCTTTTTTATCAAAGCATGATTTGTTTAATGTCTACATCATTGTTTAAAACTATACTACATATGAAATATTTACTTGTGATACATGCATATTTGGAAATGTAAAAATATAATAGATTTGTCTTTTGTGTATTATCTCCTTTTCAAAATATGCTAAAAATAAATGGAGATTTAATATTCTCGTGTTACTTAAATATCACAAAATGAAAATGAGTAATGAGTTTATGTTAATCATAGTACCAAAATAATGTTTGTCTAAATAAAATGCTTTTATTTTACAAGTAAAAATGATACACGAAGACAAACGTTTTGACACATTAGTTAACAGCAAAAAAAATGTACAAATATATTTGTGTTATGTGTGCGTGTATTTTGTGTTGCTAAATCTATTTACCTTCATTTTCTTTATTCGCTATTTTCAATAAGTGTTTGGGTAAAATCAGTAATTATTCTAAATAAATGTGAGTTTAGGTGTTACAGGTAAACTGAATATGGCGGTAAATATTTAAGGATATCCTAAAATCGAAATATGGATGTCCTGAAATATTTCAAGAAGTCCTTAATGATTTATGGATAACCACCTAAATATGAATTATGGAGGATCGTTAATATTTCAGGACGCCCTTAAATACAACAATTTTGACTAAACAAGCGCATGGACATACTATGAAGCTGAAGCAAAATGAATAACATATAGGGGAAAAAATGACTAAGTTTTAATGTAAAATTTAAATATCAGAAATATAAATCAACATTCCTTTGTCTTTTTCGGTTCAAATATGATGTTTGGCTACTGTCCAATTTATAGCAATTTCAGAGGTCTGTCCTTTATTAATATGCATCATACGGGTCTGTTGTTCAGACCTACACTGATACCTTTACATACTAACTTTTAAGTTTAAAGTGAAATTGATGGTTGTATGTGCGTAGCGTCTATTAAGGTAATGTACACTACCAACATGTTAGTGATTCATAAATCATAACAAAAAACGAAACTCAAACAATTTTATATAAAAGTATCAAAAATTCGAAATTTTGTATTAAAAAATTCTTAACATTTGAAAACGGACAATAAATTCCTGAATATTGATAAATATTTTTCATAAACAAATTATAAATACTAAAATTTATCAAATTTTTTAGTATTTTATAATGATTTAACATCAAATTAAACAATTATTAGTAAATTGAAATAACGAGCTTGTTCAAGGGAGACAACAATCAAACTTCTGGTGCATTCTTGTACATATTTTATTCACAATAACTCTATTCGATCATTCATTTTTGTTAAATCAGGTACTATAGTTATTGTCATTCTAATCATTATTTTTTTACATACACGTACCACTCCCTCTCCCATTTTAATGAGGGTATTTGAACAGCCTTTATGAATAGATATACACTATTTTTCTATTATATAAGACCACTCTTTTATTTCTAATGAAATTCACTGATTAAATTGTGTGTGAATCGATATTTTTTTTAACCAATGCTACACGTTCTTATGGGCCACCGTCAACCCTCTCCATTAAACATAAAACAAATCACACATACTAACATACTAACATACTTCCCCAAAAAAACAATCATTGTACCAATTGACGCTAGCAATAAGGTAGGGTTTTTTTTTTAGGAACAATTTTATATCAGCAGTAGATGAACACTAAACAAGTAATAGACTATAATCTAAAGGGAGAAAACTACTGATAATATGGTTTTTTTAAAGATTCATTTGGAGAAAATTAAACATTTAACATATTGTTTTTATTTTCATATGAAATGTCTTTAATCATCAATTTGAATATGATTTGGAATGGTTTCTGAAGATATCGACCTAAAAAAAAAATGATTTGGCTATATTATTCAATTACTTCATCGTTGTTTCATTTCAATATTAAGTAAAGCTTAAAACTAACACTTTTACAGTTAATATGTTGCTGAAAGACTGTTATCAATGAATAATTTTGATAAATTATTACTTGCTTACCTCAATTTTGTTCTTTGTCATAAAATCACCTGTTGCAAGAAAAACACGTGGTATCCAAAGTGGTTCAAGGCAAAATGTGTTATCGTTATTGAAGACCTCTTTTATGTTCCTCCTTTGGTCTCCTGACGATGTAACCTTATACTGTATACTTTGTTTTTATAAGTTAAAAAACCCTTTCATGATTCAAAAGATTTTTTACATGCTTTTTTTTCAATTGCAGAAGACATTATTTGTGATATATTGCAAAACATGCAGAATCCTTTATTCATTTGTCTTATATGGTAAAAAAAGATGATATGGTATGATTTCTAATGACACAAATACCCATCAAAGTTCAAATGAAGCTATAATTATTGTCAGCAATTATAGGCAACCGTACGGCCTTCAACAATGTGACAAACCCATACCGTATAGTCGGCTATAAAAGGCCCCGACATGAAAAATATGAAACAATACAATTGGGAAAACTGACGGACTAATTTATGACAAAATAAATTACGAAAAACAAATATGACAGACATGATCCAACGACAACCACTGGACTAAAGGCTCCTAGTTTGGGACAGACACATACAGAATGTGGTGGGGTTAAACATATTGAAGGCTGCAACACTCCTAACATGGGCCAGTGGTGTAACGGCACACCACATGAACAAACCATACAAAACAATTAACGAAAAACAAATATGAGAAATATAAAAAAAAAAATGACAATTACTCAAATACAAACTCCTGACTCGGGACAGGCACGAATAGTTTGTGGCGGGGTTAAACATGTTTAAAGGCACCAACCCTCCCCTACCTTGGGACAGTGGTGTATCAGTACAACATAAAAACAAATTATAAAAATCAGTTGAATAGGGATTTACTCATCAGATTGATACAAAGCAGTAAAACATCTAACAAAAACACACACCGGACATTTCAGGATATTTATACATCAATTACAACAAAAAAGACACAAAGAAGAGATCTGAGAGTACTTGCAGTTACTGACAGCTAGTTCAAAGCCAATAACATCTAATGAAAAAATTATGCTTCTGAAACTAAAATACCAATCAGTACAACATCCAATGTATTTATAAAGACGTCATTAACAGTCAGAGAAAGCCATGACCTTGCGAATTGTCAAAATATTGTATCGACAGATTGTAGTACCGTGCATTTGCATATATGTATAACAATTATATTTAGTATGGTTTCTATTTACTGATGACATAATCAATATTTATCCCAATAAAACAATATTCAAAGATCTAATTACAGTGTAGCATTGGTAACAAGTTTTTTACAGGTACAGCCAAACTTCAAAACAAAACCTTTGTATCTATGGAAGAAATTAGTAAAGGTTTTAAGTAAGTTGTGGTAACGAAATCCCTAACTTAATAATTAACAGTAATACATAGATTACGCTAATTGAAATCCAAAACATCACTACAGACACGGGCATAGCGAACGAGTTGTGATATATAAAAACCGTAAGACTGTGCCAAAGGAACATCACCGTCCAAAAAAAGGAAATTAGCAATAGGGAACGAAAAATCGTCCCTTTTCTCATAAATGTTTGTGTAGAGTTTCTCGTGTATAACACTTAAATATCTAAATCTAGGAAAGGATAGTTATTGCCTTTAATATTGGATCGTCTGTTTTTTTTCTGACCAAAAAGTATGTTCTCTCATTCTGAATCATTTCTAAATTCTAAATTTTGATATTCATTTCCTTAAACTAAAATTATTGTGTCATAAAGATAATATTCTCCATTTAACAATGATAAATTTTATGCTTCTGACACATTTTAATTCTTCTTTATATGGATGTTTCAAACTTTTCATAATAGCAAAATTTGATAAATATTTTTGTATTTTATAACTTGCACATTTTTGTGAATGTTTATTTAATCCAGATGAAATATTAGAAAGCCATGTATCCAAGGTGTAAATTTCTCATTAATGTACATATATGTATTTGAATTGTTTTATACTAGTCATTTTGGAGCCCTTTATAGCTTGCTGTTCGGTTTGAGCCAAGGCTCCGTATTGAAGGACGTACTTTGACCTATAATTGTTTACTTTTTACACATTGTGACTTGGATGGAGAGTTGTCTCATTGGCACTCATACCACATCTTCTTATTTCTATATATATAGATTATTAGATATTGAAATTAAAATAGGTTCGTTAATCATTTTGGATTATTAAGTAATGAATATTATAAATAGAAGGACAACGATATTCATAAGAAATTATTGAGCAAGGAATAGAAAGCTAATATTTAGATTAAAAACCATAACACTGTTAATTATGAATTCTCTTTTCTTATAATTAAGATAACATTTGAACAGGTTGAAGTGTCTGATGTGTACTGCAAACACCTGGTTATCTGTCATTTAACTAATTTGGACAGAGGATTCCTAGAGTATTAATTGGATTTTCCATAACTATACAAAACATCTATGGATGATAATACACAAATGCCATGATTTTATTTTCCTACTATGAAAATTCTCTATTTAATAATTGAACACATTCAAAAATGTTAACGAAAATTATTTAACATGCCCTCTCAATAATGGTTTAGTTTTTCAAAGTAATCCCGGGCTTTGCTGCACTTATAAACGAAAATCGGAAAAAAACGGAATACCAAAATTACACTCACATTCTTCTTAGTAGAGATTTGCAATAAAATGACATACGAACGTAACTATATATCTTTATTTCTCAACAAACCAAATTACATTGGTATAGAGATATCTCGACGTACGGACCTAATAGGACTGGTTATTGCCAACCATTGAATTTGGTTCAATACGTCGCTCAAGTTTAAACTTAGTATTCCAAAACTGTAAAAGTCATACACTGGAATTTTCGTCCTGATCAAATAATTTTTACATGATGAAAAATGAAAGAAACCAAGTATTTTTTAATTTATTACGTAGTTCTCCATATTCCCGCTTTAATTTTCACTGACATTAAAATCACGTATAAACACGTATCCCTTACCTATTGATCGATTTGGTTTATCTTTGATGATTTATTTTTCAATTCATATTGTAGATGAACGCTCCAATCTTCTATATTTTAAATGTGTATTTTTTCATTATCCAATGTTCTTTCTTCTTTCTTGACTAATTTATATATATTTTTGCGGGAAAAAGATGTTTTTATGTTAGGAAGGATACTTTGCTGACAAG